TGAGGACGTGGCTGGCACTGGAGCAGCAGGTCCTGGACGGCACTCAGGCCCGTGTGGAAAACGCCGCCGCCCGGGGCTCCGGGCAGCTGCAGGACCAGAGACACGGGAGCACCAAGCACACCAGAGAGCAGGCGACGGCCACTTGCCAGCCAGGCCCTGAGACCACAAAAGGGAAGGGAATGTCCCTTCCTCGAGCCCTCTCTCTGGCCGGGCTGCTTCCCTGACTCAGCGGCGGTATTGAGCTCACGGGTACTGAGCATGCGCTGTGCCGGAGGTGGGGGGGTGGGGGGCTGCTGGTCCACCTGGACCCCTGGGCGGAGGTGCTGCCTCGAGATGCTGCCCATGTGCTAGGGCTGCCGGACCTCCCCGCGGGGCTGCAGGCGGTGTCTGAACCGCGCTGCGAAGGAAGGACGGAAGGAGGGAAGGAAGGAAGGAAGGCAGGCAGGCAGGCAGGCAGGCGTGGGCCTCGGGATGGGGCTGTGAAGATCCATGCCCTGCACGTCCCGCTCCTGCAGGCAGCGCCTTGGCCAGAGCTGACGGTTCCTCTCCTCTCCTTCCAGGTGTGTGAAGGACGAAACCTACCAGTCGTACCATCCGCCATCGCCCCACATGGTCCGCTTCAAATTCAGTTCCTTCCACTTCCTGAACCGCTTCCCCTCCGTGTACCTGCAGTGTAAGATGGTCGTGTGCAGGGCGAATGACTACTCTTCCCGCTGCCACAGAGGCTGCGTGGTGAGGTCCAAGAGGGACGTGGGTTCTTACCAGGAGAAGGTGGACATTGTCCTGGGACCCATCAAGCTGGAGGATGCCCCACAGGCTGAGAAGAAGATCCTGGGTAGGTGTACCCCCCCCCCCCACCGTCTGCCAGTGAGCCATGGGCACTGGGGGTGTGTCTGTGGGCGTAGGTTCCACCTGGAACTGGGCACCTCCTGTGTGCCAGGCACACTGGGCTATGCCGTGCGGTACGGAGTTGAACTTGACTTGGTTCCCGTCTTCTTCCAAGGGCTTCTGGTCTCTGAGGGGAGGCATGTGTAGGGTTTGGTTGAGAGAGTTCAGACCTGGGACACAGACACACCTGACACCTTTATCCTCTGGGTTCTGAACTCCCAGCCTCACACTCTTCATCCATAAAACAAGTTAATACTTGCCTCTGAGGACTTTTGAGAGAGTTACATAAAATAGTGTCAGTTACACTGCTTTGGCCCCCACCAGCTACAAGTCACTGGGTGCAAAGTGCGCTGATTTTGGTTTCTATTATTGACATTAACATTATTAACATTAATGATATTAAATAACATTAATATAATTTATATTAACCTTCATGATAACATTATTAATGATGATAATGACAACAAATGATAGCCCTGTTGCAGTGAAATCAGGGTCTGGGCAGGGCCTTGGGAGGCAGGCAGGACTGACACTGGAAAAGCCGTTTCATTTTCCTCAAGTAGAACGGGGAGCAGAGATCCTGCTGTGCTGCCTTCTTGTGGGTGTGGATGCACAAATGTGTGCAGAAAGTCTCCTACAATTTCTGGTCCAGGCCAGGCCAGGTCAACAAATGTGGTGGCCTTGGTGACAGGAGCAGGTGGGGCAGCAGGAGTTGTCACAAACCCTCCAGCAGTCACAGGCTCCACCCCCCGTAGGATCTTTGACAGCTCACTCTCCTCAGGGCCTGTGTTCTGAGCTTCCCCCCATGTCTGGCTTCTTTTCTGTTCTTTCCTCACACATTCAGCATTCCATGCATCTTTTGAAGGCCTATTATGTGCCAGGAGACATATAACCAAGTAGATCAAAATCCTTGCCCCATTCCAGTGGGAGGGGACACAGTGCAGACAGAAGTCACCTGCATGGTACCCACCATGGGGCTGGAGCCGCAGAGAGAAGGAAGGCGGGGCAGAGGGGGCCTATGGGGACACCTCTACGTCTCTTCCCACCGGTGCTGCAGTAACTTAAGGCC